TAAACTATGTATTTTGCCTATAAGAATATAAAAGAGAAACTTACTGTTAATAATACCAAATATTAGTAACCGAGTAGGCGATATTCAAATTTAAATTTCAGTATCCATTTACTATTTTTTTTCCTTCCTCTGCAAGGCGTTAATATCGGGAAGAAAAATACCTGAAAAATATAAAATTGCCTCAATAAAAGGAAAAAACAGTGCACAACTGGTAGAACTTCACTATTGAGTTGTCATTCATCAAAAGACACATGACTATTGTCTCAAAGTACAAAGAATGTTGTCTGGCATTTTAAAGTGAAGCCTCAAATAGCTTATACACAGGCTTGTTCAAGCTTATTGATATACAAACTGCGACACTAATTCAAAAACTGCTTATGAATAGTGTTGTATCTTTTAAGCACGTCCACGGCAATCTCATGCCACAAACATCTAGTTAAGCAATCAAGTCCACGACCAGGGGATTAGGAATTTGGGATTTGACTATAGCAAATTCACATAAACTGGAGGTGCACTCATTTTTGGTAGCACCTCTTCTCCGATAGTGTTTCAGGACCTATGCCACAAGTAGGTATAATTACTTTTGTAGAAGCTAAGCAATCCCAAAAAGTAGACAACATAGCATGTCCAAATTAGAAAATAATGAAAATGATCCAATCACATTTTTACATGAAAGAGAGTAGTCTCTGAAAATGTCAAAGCAAACAGTTTCTAAGCTTGATCTTATTCACCCTATCAGGCATATTACCAGCATCAACAACCAAAACATAACAACAACAACAACAACAACATATCCAGTATAATACCACAAGTGGGGTTTGGGGAGGGTAGTGTGTATGCAAACCTTACCCCTACCTTGACAAGGTAGAGAGGCTATTTCTGATAGACCTCAGCTCAAGGACCATCATCAACCAAAACATAAAATCGACAAATAAGCAATATTTGTGATCGTCATTTCAATATAACATTACAAATAGGCGATCAAATTACGACATAAGCGGTCACCAAATGTAAATGGGAGGTTACTGGCCAGTTTATTAAAAAGCTAATAAGAATCAAAATTTCTAGAAAATGCAATAAGCCATTATCAATGATCAAAGTTGATAATCAGATGCTTTTGGCAGTATGCTCTAAAGATGGACTCTTATCATTAATCATGGAACATTGCAAGATTCAGACGCGCAGATACACGCTTATGCGATAGAGATAACCAATTCACAAAGTTTTGGCGCAACATCGAACTTTATATTTGTTACATAATGGGCTCTTCAGCATCGACCAGCAAGCAACCCAAGTTATCTTACTTTCACATTTGCCTTAGAATTTAAAATAAGGCAACAAAAGAAAAGAATGTGGAATAAAACCTTGAACAAAGAAATTATAAGAGGTATCTATGTTACTCTGCTGTAGCTTCTTCATGGCTGTTCCCATCGGTTCCTGTCTGTGGCAATGTACCCAGATCCGTACGAGCCTCTGTCTCTTCTTGAGGAATTGCAGAATTTGTTGACTCGACTTGGCTTTGCTGGCTATCATCAGAATTGCCATTTGAGCTGGAAGAATCAGTCGATTTGTTTTGATCTGTGTCTGTCTCGTCATTGTCATTTGAGGGATTGATTTTATTCTCAGAGCCAGGATCAGAATTAGCATCTGATTTCTGGTTTGCCTCATTTTGGTCGCTCCCACTTCCTGTTGATTCCTCAGTTGCCCCAGATGTAACAGAATTGCCATTTTGGTCAACTGATACAACAGATTCAGAGCTGTTTGAAATTGTTACTGATTCTTCATTTGCCGAGGTGTTTGAATCACTTTTCTCAGACTGCTGCTCATTTGAAATGTTCTGTGTGCCATCTCCAACAGAAGCAGCCTCATTGGCTGAGTTCTTCTCATTCTCCTGCTGCTTTTTATTGTCTTCATTGGTTCCTTCTGCAGAATTGGAGTCTTCACCAGAGTTCTTCTCATTTTGTGTGGTACCAGAGGCAGAACTGTCATTGTCCTGCTGCTGCTTATTGGCTTCATTGGTTTCTGCTGCAGAATTGGAGTTGTCACTAGAGTTGTTCTCATTTCCTGCTGCAGGATTTGAGTTATCGCTAGAGTTGTTCTCATTTTGGGTATGAGAGGCAGAGTTCTCATTTCCTTGCTGATGTTCATTGGCTTCATTGGTTCCAGCTGCAGCATCGGAGCTATCACTACTGTTGTTTTCATTTTGATTGGTCTCAGAGGCAGCATTGCCAGTTTCTGTCTGCTGGCTAGTGGCTTCATTGTTTCCTGCCACGGGATTAGAATTGTCCTCAGTGTTGCTTCCATTACTCGCTTCTCCAGCAGCATTTGCATCTGCAGAACTACTTTGTTCACCCATCTTATTTTCTCCAGCATCCGCCTCCGACTTGTTCAGACTTTCATCACTTCCCTCGTTCTTGTTTTTATCGTCCTGCAACTCATCTTCTCCCTTCTTGGATTGCTCCTCATTGTTCAAGGCTACATTACCATCTCCTTCTGTTCCTGTCATGTTTTCAGAATCTGAAGTCTCTTTGACCAATGAACTGTCTTCGTTTCCATTTTCTACTGTTGCAGCCTCATTAGTCCTATCGCTTTCATCATGAACCTTATCTTCTCCTAATGAGCCAGATTCTTCATTTTTGTTTTGGTTCTCTTCCTTCTCTTTGTTGACTTCATCGTTCTCTCTGCTATCTCCCTCATTCTTCTCTTCTTTGCTCTCATCATTCTCTTTTACTTTTTCCTCACTACTTTCCTCCGACTCTGCTGACTTCTTTTCGCTTTCATTTTCAACTGCTTCTTCGCTTTGATTCTTAGAGATCTCTTCACCTCCACTCTCTTCACTTTCTACCTTCTCTTCCTTCACATTAGTTTCTGCATCAACATTTCCCTTAGTTTCCTTCTCTTTACCATCGTCACTTTCACTTTCCTTGTCATTGTTTTCTTTTACATCTTTGTCTTCCTTTTCTACTTCTTGGTCCTTATTTTCTTCACCCTCAACGCCACTTAGCTTTCCCTGGTCTTTCTCCCTATCCTCTTCTCTAGATTCACTGTTGTTGGTGTTCATGTCAGTGGCTTCCTCATTACTCTCACCTTTGCCATCTTCGGTATTCTCTTTGCTTTCTGCTTCAGCATTGTCTTCTCCTCTCACTTCATTCTCCTGGATTTTCTCCGTCCCTGCATCCTCAGCCACTGAATCCCCTTTCTGCTCAGTATCCTGTGCTGATTTTTCTAGATCAAGATCATGCTCGTCCACTTTGGTGTCGTCGTTGAAACTTTTACCCTCTTCCTCCTCTGTCACCTCCTTCAGCTTCTCATCGTCAATTTCTTCTTCCCTCTTTTGAGGTTGGAGGTCCTTCCTTCCTAGCCTGATAACATCATTCTCACTCTGTACCTTCTCCGAAACACTTGTATTTTGTTCATAAGATGCTTTCTTGGTACGTGAGTGCTGGACTTGGTAAAGCAGCCAGATACAAACACCTACAAGTACACATATCTGAAGGGCATGCTTCACCTTGAATCCTTTATTTCTCTGGTTTCTACGTGGTGAATACTTGAACATGATGATGATTTTTTCCCGAATCCAATTACCACAACTTCAAAAAAGATCCAAAAATAAAAGGTAATTTAAGGGCTCGAGCCAGAGCAAGAATCCATGAAATCTAGAGAAAGAATTCTCTTGATAAAAATACTGACCTATCAAGAGAATAACACTAAAGATGGTACATCTAAAGAAAACAAAACAGCGACACTGGTTAACAGAGACCAAAGAGTTCAGATAAATTTGCAGACACTGTTAATCTGTTAGACAATCCAATATAACACTCAGTTAAAACTAAGGAATTGGTTATTTTGCTGGATCTGACTTGCTACTTCTTTACATCATCCAGATCTAAACATGTTCAGAGTAGCTAAAACATACATTTTTCGATGAAGTGAAAAAAAAACAGGTTTTTATCATCTATTCAACTCCAATAAAAACCTCAACAATCAGACCCAAACAAAATCTCTCCAAGTACAATTCATAGAAATGTTGACGTGTTACATTATGTAAAATCAAGTTACGATTTTACATATTGAAGGCAAACCAGCATGAAATTTTTTAAAGACAAAAGGCTGGCAAAAACATACAATTGTAACTGCAGCCATTAAAGAACACTCAGAAATACACGCACACATTGTTCTCAAAAGATCTGAATTTGTATATAAGCACGGAACAATCATGAATAAATACCCTTACCAACAAGTCAAAAAAAAAACATAAATTAGAAATCTTTCCACAATACTAAAAGAGAAAAAAGCTGAAAAGGGCATACCTGATATACAGTAATAGAAGCGAGTCTCAGCGTCTGGATTCAAGATCCCTATTGTAAATAAGCAAAAGTAGGTAACTTTATAGGCAAATTTGGTCAAATTATTAGAATGGAAGAAAAGGTACAAAGTTGCAATAAGATCCTTAAACCACAAACTTAGTAATAATAACAATACTATAATTGTATTACTGCAACCCCATAAACAATATTGTTGAAAAAGCCAAAGAGAAATGGTTTAAGAGTTTTATGGGTAGCAAGTAGTTTTTGTAGAGGTTGAATCACGAACTATCAGAAGAGGTGAAGACGTGACCCCTGAAACTTAAATGCCTTTTTTTATTTTCCTTTTAGGTTCAGATCAAGATCCAGTTTTTCTCACTTTATTACGTATTTAAAAACCACACATATTCCCCTCCTTTTATATAATTTAAACAACTGTTGCGTTTACACTGGCATCTCTCCTCTTCATCTCCTTATCACTCCCTTTCCCACGAGCCTAAAATTGTCAACACACAAATTGCCATCAATACGACGCCGTTACAGAAGATAACGACGTCGTTGCAATCGACCAAAGGGTTAATGAGTTAATGTACAGTGGAGAAATTGCCACGTTTCACCGAATAACGAAGGCGGTCTTCGTCGGTGATTCGGTGACCTTTTTTTTTTCTTTTAAATAAATATATATTTAGTATATTAAACAAAAAACTGTTGAGTCAGAAATCGGTGAGTTCAAATGATGTTCTCGAAATTTCTAACCACAGCGCTACGGCGCAATATCCTTAAACCCTGCGGCGGCCACGGCCGTCTCCGCCCGTTTTCCACGGCGGCAGCGGCGGTGGTGGAACCTTACGAGGAAGAAACTACCGGCATCACGATGAAAGGTGTGAAAATCTCCGGCAGACCTCTGTACCTAGATATGCAGGCAACTTCTCCTATTGATCCTAGGGTTCTCGACGCTATGCTGCCTTACAATATCTCCCGTTTCGGAAATCCCCATTCCCGAACTCACCTTTACGGCTGGGAATCAGATCAGGCCGTTGAGGCGGCCCGAGCCCAAGTTTCAGCCCTAATTAATGCTTCTCCCAAGGAGATAATTTTCACCTCCGGTGCTACTGAGTCCAATAATATTTCAGTTAAGGGGGTTTTACATTTTTATAGGGATAAGAAGCGACATGTTATTACTACTCAAACGGAGCATAAATGTGTGCTTGATTCTTGCCGTCACTTACAGCAAGAGGGCTTTGATGTAACTTACCTTCCAGTTGAGTCCGATGGACTTGTGGACCTAGAAAAGCTTCGGGCTGCTATACGGCCTGATACGGGTTTGGTATCAGTTATGATGGTGAATAATGAAATAGGTGTGATTCAGCCTATGGAGGAAATTGGGAAAATTTGCAAAGAATTTAATGTTCCTTTTCATACTGATGCTGCACAAGCGTTGGGGAAGATTCCAATTGATGTGGAGAAGATGAATATAAGTTTGATGTCGTTAAGTGGGCATAAAATTTATGGGCCGAAAGGTGTTGGAGCTTTGTATATTAGGCGTAGGCCGAGGATTAGGGTTGAGCCACAGATGAATGGGGGTGGACAAGAGAGAGGGATTAGGAGTGGGACAGTGCCTACTCCCTTGGTGGTAGGGTTTGGGGCAGCTTGTGAGCTTGCAATGAAGGAGATGGAATATGATGACCAGAGGATTAAGGGTTTGCAAGAGAGGTTGCTGAATGGGATAAGGTCTAAGATTGATGGGGTTGTTGTTAATGGGAGTGTTGAAAGGCGATATGCCGGGAATTTGAACTTATCTTTTGCATATGTGGAAGGTGAGAGTTTGTTGATGGGTTTGAAGGAAGTTGCTGTATCAAGTGGAAGTGCATGTACCAGTGCAAGTTTGGAGCCCTCCTATGTGTTGAGGGCATTGGGAGTTGAAGAAGACATGGCCCATACTTCGATTCGATATGGAATTGGGAGGTTTACTACTGAGCAAGAGATTGATCGTGCGGTGGATCTTACGGTCAAACAGGTTGAGAAGTTGAGGGAAATGAGCCCGCTTTATGAAATGGTTAAAGAGGGGATTGATATAAAGAGTATCCAGTGGGCGCAGCATTAGTTTGATTGCTGATTGATTGGAATTGGGACGATAACTGCCACTACATGGGGATGTGGTTTGAAGTTGACGGTCCAGGTTCTGCTTCAGAATATCTAGTACATGTCCCTGAACTTCAAGGCTATTGTTATGAGCTAAGTTTCTTCAATAAGATGTTTACTGTTGTCGACTCTAAGTTGACTCTGTAATTGTGCATGATATAGTGGTAGAGTTGTGCTTTAGTGACAGAGCATAGCATCTATTCTGGTTTGTTTCTGCCCTTTGTTTAAGTTTTGCTCGCAACCATTGAAAAGCTTACACTATGATTTAGACCAATTTGTGTTTGCATGATTATTTCAGCAAAGTTGATGGTGTTTCTGATTGTTTTAGGAAATAATTTACATTGTTTTACTGCATTCGACAATTCTGCAGTGGCCTATACTGTACATGTCAGGGTATAAAAAGATGGATGATTGCCTGTGATATAGCAGGGACTTTAATCATCTCATCGCCATCGGTGGTTTAAATTCAACAAAGTTATGTGTTATGTGGAGGAATATCAAGGGACACAGAATGAATGTTGGTTGTACCCTTTGATTATGTTGGTTTGGATATTATGGGTGGCCTTGCCTTGTGTCCTTCGTTGCTGTTTTGCTTGATGCCATCTTTGTTTAAGATGCTTTGCTTCTGGTTAGTTTTTGCAAATAACTGAAACTCGTGAAATTATATGACAAATTAATCTGAGGGATTCACGTTTGAAGATTTCAAGATTTGATGTCATGGCAGTGAAACATCTCAATTAGGTGTCAACATTTGCCTTATTAATGCTTTCATCTATTGAATTTGTGTGTGTTCCTGCTATTTCAAATCATGATTGAAGTTTGATTTCTGCTAGTTCTAGTTGCTTCCTTATGTTATTATATCTTCATGTTGTATTTCTCAATGAAATCCTCCCTCTACCAGCATCTACCATTTGCCCTTGTACTGAGGCTAGTTGTTGTTGAGCTTGTAAATGTAGTCTTACATTGTAAGGTAAAAGTGCGGATCTTCATTAATGCATTGCCATTATTGTTAGTTGATGTAACATTGGTGGTCAAGAGACGTTTGCTGGCTTTTAATAAGCTTAATCTTGGTGCATGCAATGGTTGTTGATCTTTTTAAGGCATCTATGTTTTAAATTAAGAATAGCCAGATTCTGCGCTAGAAATCTTGAAAACCTCATCACGTTTTGCTCTTCAAATGTTATTCCTTGAATTCCAATTGTATGTAAACTGTAATGGGGGAGTGCTCTCAGCAAAGGCCTACGGTCGATTAAGCTTAGTGGATCACGGGAGATCTCCCAGATACATGGCGTACATATTTGGCTCAACATTAAATAGAAGGTTTCAAAGGAGAATTGGTGATTAAGTAATCGAGTCGAAACTAGGAAAAGAAACACAAATAGAGAGGAATAAGCTTCAAATCTGAGCATAGGTGAGAATATGCTGGGCAAGTTTTCTCGATCCCTCCAAGTCTAGGTGAACAGGATTTACTGACTGCTGGGCGAGTTTTCTCGATGTAAGTCTTGGTGAATAGGATTATCGACACGTGCTGGTTGAAGGTCATTCATTAAGTGAACTAGTCGAGGTGTACAAGTTGGTGTCGGTAATCCTTTATCCAAAGAAAAAAGGGGCTCTTGATGCCGTCAATTATGGGCCCTCTATATGCTGTATGCTGCATTCTGTAAAGAACTGTAGATCCCGTCACCTTGTTGTGGCCTTTACTGTCTTGAGAAGTATTTTGGAGGCCTTCTGGCCTCACAGCTGCTACCAATGAGGGTTCACAAGGCTGCTGGAAGGAAGAAGACAGATGACGTCTCTTTCTGCTGGTTGGTAGTGAGAGTATATAACCAACCTACCTTTCTGTATAACTAATTCACATTAGTGAAGTGGTCGGATGCATAAGGGAAGTGCACATCTGTGAGACCTTAGTCGGGATGCATGGGTGAGTCAACCTACGATCACGGAAGAGCATGGTAAGATTCTTAGCCATGTAGATGACTCTATCTAAAATACAATAGGGACAGCTGTTTTTGGCTGTTCGTTTGGTATCTTGAAGAAAGAGTAGGCTTAAGTAATGTAATAGGGGTCAGGTCAATAATAGCTATGCTATTGCCTAATACTGATCCATTCCCGAATGCACATTTTTTCGGGGTCATCTTCAATTGATGTTTTCTTAACCTTTCGAAGACCTTACGTGAATTTTTGATGTGGTCGGTTCTTTCTTTTGAAAAGACTACCAAATCGTCCATGTAAGGCTTGTATATGTTACGCAGGAGGTCACTGGTAGTTTGTCAACGCTAGATCAACCGCCAATTTCTTAGGTTAAAAGGAAAAAAGAGATATCCTTGCTTAACTTGCCTATCATTGAGGGGTTGGTTACTCGTTGGCAAATAGATTCTTCGAGCTATCTCTAGTCCTTTGAAGTGTCAACAAGCTATGGTATGCTTCTGGCCACTAATATTTTGTGTGTCTGTTTTCAATTGGAACTTAAGTATGCTATCATACACCCTTGTTTCTGTATTCTACGAGCGTGGCAGCGTAGGTGATGAATACTAATATACTATCTAAGAAGTGAATGACTCAAGAATGTATGAAGAGTACTGTGCTATGCGTGACAAGTTAATGTTACCTTTCATTAATATATCTGGAATTAGGGGTCATTTTCGAGCTGAGACTTCCACGAAAGATTGCTTTGTTTCCACTCTTTCCAAAAGTACATTGGTTAAAGGTGAGTCGATTTTGTCCGTCATTTGAAGAGTAGGTGAAGGTTTTGATTATTTGATTGCGTACTGTAAAAAGCCTATAGAGCGAGAATGCTTTGGGTCACAGCTTTTCATGTCTATTTGGGCAAGAAAACTTTGAAAAAATAAAATAAAAATGGAATAGCATTTATCATTCTTAGGATGGACTTGATCATGTTACAGGATAGGTTATTCAAGAATTTCTACATTGATAATAGACTCACTTTTCTTTTTATTTGGATTATCATCATTAGTCCACACTTGTTATGAATAAATGTTGTTGAATTTTTCTTCCCTTTCATGTTTGATTAACCTGGCTCTTTACATTGTGAGGATTAATTACCTTTAATTTGGACTTTTGGAAGATGGAAATAATATGTTACTCTTCAATGCTTTCTGGACATGTGATCGAAGTCGTCATATGTTTGTATGTTTGTGCTTATGATTTTCCTTTGGAAACAATATGCTCTGTCAGAGTAGAACATCCACGGGAATCTGCCAACATAGCATGGCAAATCCGTCTAATGTACGTCTGTCCGGACGACGCTGCCATCCATGTGGCTTATTTGCTACGGTATTGAATTCAATTGTTTCCACACAAACATTGGATGTATATCTGAAAAGGCAAAATACAAAATTCAATAATATTGTGTTTTGAGTATAATAGGTTTGTGCTAACTAATTTAAGTAGGCGTTTGGACATGAATTCCCAAAAAAAAAAAAAATTTAAATTTGGAATTTCACTAAGATTTGAATTGAAGATGAAGTTGTGTTTGGTTATAATTTTTGCAATATATTTGGATGTCTTTTTTTTTTCAAAATCATGAAACATGATTTATATCTCATAACTTGTAAAAATATTAAAATCACCTCAATTTGATTATCCTACGTGAAATAAACAATCAAAATGTTATTGTTTAACTGTTATCATATTCCGTTTTACTGCAATGCACAGAAGATGCAAAATCAACTAGGACTGATGTTCCACTATCAGTCACCAAAAGTGTATCTGCCAAAGATGAAAAACTAATGGGTCATTTCATAAATTTTAAAAATATAGGGTAAATTGGTAAAGCTTTAACTAGCAAATTCCCATTTTCAATTGAAAAAGTGGTAAGAATCTGTTTTTCAAATTTGAAAATGAATTTTCAAGTGAAAAAGGAAAAAATGGTAAGAATGGGATAACCAAACATTGTTTTCAATTTTTCTTTTTTGGAAAAACGGAAAAATTTTGTATGTCCAAACGGGCTAAAGTTAAATTCATCAAGTTCAAGTCTTGGATTGACCTTTAATACCATCTTCCGTTAGCTTAGTAACACCTACAGAGGATCTTTTTCTAATAAAAGGTGAGGTAAACCATATTTAGAGCGAAAGGCAAACTTACTTGTGCTCTTTCTGCTGTAGCACCTGCAGAGGGTGTGCAACTAAGTAGCTAACATATTCTTCCCACATTAGCATAAGCAAGTGTAATCACGTTCCTTTGAAGGAAAACTATAGTTTGAGCGAATTCGATTACTTGGCGAGACTAACAGGTAAAGTAATTATATAATGAGTCGTAATTACATTCAAATTAGTTTCTTGTAGGCTTCCCTGACTCGCCTTGAAGAAGTAATGCCTTTCTGACACTAGGATCATTTTCATACAAGAAAGCTTACCAAACTTTCAAGTACTTCCAAAATATGCAGGAAGCTTAATAATCATGATGAAAGTGGTGTTGTTGAACATGTAGCGAATTTGACAGCCAATGGAAGACGATATAGTGCACCACCATGTGAAGTTGTGTTGCCGCTTTGCAGTGAAACTAATATATGATGATGATCAGCCAACACGTTTGTCTCAGTACGTACAAAATTTTCACTGGATTCAGGCAGGAATATGTTCCTGAATTGATTGAAGCCAGGGAAGGGGCACACTCTTATAGGACTAAATTGAGGCGGAGCCATAATTTCAACTTTACGGATTCTAAATTTTAGAACGATAATTTCATACGCTAATGATTAGGTTTTAAATTTAATATACATTCTAAATGAATTTCTTAACACAAATACATTTTTTGGGTAAAAGCTCTTGGCGGAGCTAGACTCATATCCGGGCTTTTAGCTCTGCTATTGGGAGTAAGGCTTTATTAGGGTAAAGCAAAAATAAAGGAAAAACTACATAAACTGTCAGTCAATAAATAATTTCAACCAAAACTAACCCAAAATAAAAAATTTACCAAAAAGAGCCCAAATGTCATTTGTAACACATCTATATTTTGTAAAACACAAAGATAGTTCAAACTTCTTGAGACTTGAATAATTTGCAATATTCCAATTCCTTTAAATTAAAATTCAGATAATCGAGCGCGTTAACTCGATTTAGAAGTAATTATTGAACGTTAGTTTGTTGGATTGGGTCGAAGGATTAAACTGAAAATGCCACGGACAACTATTGAAGCTTTATTAAGCTTGAAATCAAAAATTTGAGTTCACGAAATTGGAATTTATTTCGAGTGAGTGTTATTGGAGTAGATTGAGTACATCTTAAGGAGTGTGAATCTCAATTTTGAGACGATTTGGTAGAGATTTTAGGTGGTTTGAATTGAAATTTGAGTCAAATTGGA